CCAGCATCTAGTGAACATGTGAGTGAAAAAATGATTTTGAGCTGTGAATCGATGGTAATAACGGAAACTTAGGTCTCTGCTCAACTCCCAACCTGTGAAATATCGTTTAAACCAAAGTCCTTCCCATATTATCACCCATGTCAGCAATCTTGATATTGTCAACAACGAAAAAAAGATAGCAGTCGATAAGAAAAACATTTCAAAATTAATCCAAACCATTGTGTATTCATGGTAAAATAGCTGAGAAATGAATTTCGCGTTCAATATACCAACATCAGAATAACAAATAACATTTCATTTATTCGAATATGGATATACTAGCTGCCTTGACTGCGCCCGGCATCTGTTACTGAAACCTTTTTTTACCTTATAGAATACAGTTAAAAACTCAGGATCACTCTGAAGCCCTTTTAAAGAGTTTTTTCATTCGTTGCTAGCTGCCGAGTAAACAAATCTGCGTAATTGTCCTGCTTTTTGTCAAAGTCTACTGTTCAGTTATGCTCGTCTATAGTTCAAATGAACAGCACCACTTTAACTACTTCCATTCAAAAACCCATGTACTTACATGATATTATTTAGTTACTTTGACAGTGATTAAGAATTGCATAAGTTTTCAAGCAATGAACTTGTTTGGCGCAACAAAGTCCTTATTTAACGTCTTCAGACAACTAACTAAGGTAGCTGGCTTGTCGCTTTACTCAGTTTCATTACCCTATGTCCAATTTGCTGCATCGGGCCCTGTCTACTGCTTGCTAAATACTCTTATATTGTGTGTAAAGTTAGATTACTAAGCAGCACTGAAAGTTAAAATCATCGTTTGACCAAGAAAATGTCTAATACATATCCTGAGAGAGAAAATGGAAGTGCAGGACGTTCTGAGCGTTTTTCGAGACCTCTCCCTTATCCCCTCTCCGGTCTCAATTACGTGAGCCTACCTTTTTCTGAAGTACCCAATCAGCTGAATGCTGTGATGCCAGCTACATAACTCTTTCGACTGATTGATATCCTTTTCCTTCGTTTCTTCAAAGGGGAATGAAAATACTGCGCACAATCTGGCTGCTTTTGTCCTACATCGTACTCTGATTCCTAGCGCTAATTCATGTGAGCAACTGCTCCGCTTCAACATACTTCTGTTTAGAAACTATGCGTGTTTACACGATCCTGCCTAAGTATGTAATTGATAACGTTTGAATCACGTCTTTTCTATGAATGACGTAATTTGGCCAAAAATTAGCAAACCAACGCCATACGACTAACTCTATAGAGTCGCTTATGTTATCTGCCAGCGTCTGAAATGTATATGTTCGGAATTTGGGTATTATTTCAGAAACAAAAAGTTTTTTTTCGAATATACATACATACATTCATACAGCTTTTCTGCTTCCTAGACAACATTAATTAATAGCCGATAGCTATCAAAGTAGAAAGGTAAGCGATGCATATTTTAATTCTTCTATATGTATATCTGTATGGTGAAATTTCGAAAACGGACCAAGCTGACGGAATCTTCTCAAATGATCAAATGATGTTTTTCTTATGAAATTAGAGTTTTTAAAGTGTAACCTTTACTGCCTATTTGCATTAAAGAAAAAATTGTTGTGCAGTTGTAAGGTTTGAAACGGTGCCTATTTGCACACAACGTTTTGCATTGTTAACAATTTCCAAGATTGTAGGCTGCGATTACCCGTAAGATAATAGGTTGGTTAACTCTC